ATCGACATGAACTCTTCATCGTCGTAAATTAGTTAATTCTTAGAAGAAGAGGACTGTAGTAATTCGGAGATTTTTATAAAAGAGTTCAAAGATGGGGGAAAGACGTTCAAAGAGTTTAGTACTGCAGGTTGCACTTACGGTTAGAGCATACCAGAGCAATGACCATTGAGGCTGTACCATTAAATTCGGGGAAGTAGCTCGTTAGTCACAACACTGATAGTTAAGGAAATAATTTTTGTCGAGCTTTTGGCCATTGTTGATTGTTTTGCTTCAGCTTGGTTGCTGGATAGGTCAGAACAAGTTTTAAGTGAAGCATGTTGACTGTCATCACAGGACGGAATGTTCTACTAAACAGCAGTACTAGGGCTGAAGTCCCAAGCGGTTAAAAAAGCTAAGCATTGGAAGCACACGCAGTGTGGGAGAATTCAGTGCTCCGGTTTTCTGCCCCTCACTGCGACTGAAGCGAATAAAACCAGAAAAGTTTGTTAATTTTCCCCAAAAATATGAAACTTTAAAGCCGAAAAAAATCAAAAATTTTCGAGTCTATAATTTTGAAATTTGAAGTTTTCTTTTAGAATGCTCTTTTTGGATAAAACTGACTTTTTTACAGTACCTTGACTAGCCTATTTCTCTATCAGAATCTCGTGACGCGTAGCTGCAGGTCGTTTTAACTAAACTTCTGTTTTTTGCTGAAAGAGCGTGTTCCCATCCCGTACTTACAGAGTGGTAAAAGAAACAGTTAGGTTTTAAAGAAGTCGTTTGGAGCAAGTCCTTTAGCAAACAAATAGTCTAGAGAAGCGCAGGGTTTATCTCGCAGAAAAGTAATTTGTGTTTATACAGAAGGAACAAAAAGATAGACTGCGAGTGTGTCAATCACACTTTCCATATCTTTCTGAAAGGAATAAAAGAAGCAAGTTTGAGAAGCTTCGTACTCAACTCAGTTTCTTGAGTGATAAAAGACTGAAAATGGCCTTTTGGTAACCATTAAAATGGGTATTCGTGTGTTAACAAGTTCAAAAAACCTTCACCCTTTTGCAAGCATAACCTGAATCTTCTAACACCGTGGTGGTGCCATGAAGCTTTGAGGGATAAGTTCAAAAACGGAGATGATTGTTGGTAAGATCAATCAGCTCCAAGTGCACCTGTTCTACTTCTTTTTTCCACTGTGATCAAAACTTTCAAAGGGAAATTAATCCGGACCGGCTGTTTTTGACAAAACAAATCATGTTATTTTTTTTATTTGGCTATTAGTCAGTAAGTATGACCTACAAAAAAATTGATCTACCGCTGCATAAAAAATTGAAAGATTTTATAGGTCGTCCAGTGAGAAAATACCAGACATCTCCAAGAGTTTTTCATTCTGAGAAGCGGTAGTTGCCTGAAGTTATAAGTAGAGAACTACGATGAACTCAGACTCTTTACAATAAATTAAAGGGAAGATTGTTAGGTGGCCTACGTGTGCGGCTTTTATCACCAGCCGAGTCGCAACTTTTTTATTTCAATTGTCCCTTGAGTCTTGGTTTTCAAGTCCCCTTCAATTCAAACATTAGCCGTTTTCTGAATGGGTTATCAGCTCCCTGAAAGATAGTAAGATGGCATTAACAGTGAGGAAAGCTACTTCATTCGTCAAGTATTCTTACTACCATCAAAAACTACCATCAACGTTTTATTTCAAATCTAAACACATCGCGTCTCATTTTTGAAGAGAATGAAAATTTGGCATCTGCACGACAGAGCCGTTGATGCAAGAAAAACGAAGTAGAAGCACGAACCAAAAAGGTCAAAAAATCCTGTGGGAAGCATGAAGGTTACTGTTGAAACTGCAGACTACAAAAGCTTCCAGCAAAATTGATGACAGGTTTTGGCGATGTTTTCTTAATTAAAAAAATTAGCAGTTTGTTTACTAATCGAGCGCCACCTTAGTGAATATGCACTAACGGGAACCTTGGGGGACGTCGTGGCAGCGACCTTCTTTAGGCACTGGAATAACAGTTCTTATTTTTCTTACATACATCTCGGTCAATCGCCTGTGTCTCTGATCGCTGGCTATTTGCAGTGCAAATCTTTGAAGGACGAAGAAAACGATGTCAGTAAGAGCACTAGATGAAAAGAACGGCATCTACGGTGACAAACAGCCAAGAATTTTCCAAAAATGCTACCGGGGTTAGGAAAGGTATGATAATTATAAAAAAAATTTGAAATTTTTTAAAAAAATACGTTTTTACGTGCTATTTCAGCAAAGAAAGAGCGGATTTTACAAGGGTAGATATATTGATGATCGAAGAAGAATAAAGGACTTTTTTTACAACCACTATAGGTGAGGGAACAGGAAAACAAAGTTTTAAAGATTAAAAGCTTTTATTGAAATCTGAACGGACGGTAAAGATAGTGCAGTTTTTTAGGTTTGTGAAATTTAAAGCGAAGCAAATTCTTTTTGTACTTTAGCGCACATCCTTATGGGAACTTTTTGCTATGATATGTGAATAATATGTTGGGTCTTGCTCTGTAAAAAAGACAACAGTAAGAGACCGGTAGAAGCTGGAACGTCTTGCACAGCGTCCTGGAACGTCCTTCCCGTTTTATTTGGCAGTTTCCCGACGACAAGTTCCTCATCGTTTAGATGAAGTCTTAACAACTTTTCGCAAAGGACGCCAACTCTATTATTATGGGAACGTGGCCAACGGTTCAGCATACAGAGCAAAAATTTGAGAGCGAAATTAGAGGAGATCTTTGTTTCTGGCTTTGATGAAAAAGTGTCAGTTGTTTGGTCGGCAGCTTTTGGAATTGATTTGCGGCTTGAACTGTTTAGTTGAATTTTAAGTGTCAGACAGAAACAGGTTTTGTTTTTGGGTATCTGTCAACGTAATTTTATCGACACAACAAGGTGGATGTAATGGAAGAATTTCTGCCGCGCTTTGAAGAACTAGACTTCACTCCATTTTACTGGTATGTTTCGTGAGAAAGGACAAGTGTGATTAATGCGTATTTAATTTTTTTTTGAAAAAGGCAGTGAGCTCGATAATTTTCTGGATTGTTTTTTGTGTAGTAACTATCTAGGCGGCGTACTTCATCAGATTTGCCTTACTGTATGACCCGCATTCACTAGCAGTCATAAGACATTTAGTTTGGTTAGAAGTTAAGTAGAATAATACCACCTTTCCAGAATAATTAAGCAGAAAATTTTTTACTTGGCCTTGTAAGACTGTTAATTTGCAAACATTTACGTGTTTAACGAGCTGACTTCTTTTTGTTCGTGACATGGATTTTGTTCTAGACTACTATTCACTTGAGTAGGAGTGGCCTTTTTTCAATTTTCCCTTAGCGCGCTCATCTTTTCTTCCCGTCTGCAGTTGCTCACCGGCTTTATGGGAACCATCTTGCTATTGAAGTATGTAATATTTCTTGAGCTGTGGGTTAAATCTACAGATCTGCCTGTTTTGTTACACATGCTTTATGATTCCTTACTTCCCGTGCATATGTTCCTATAAGCCTTTTTTAATTCCAATCTACTCCCGAAAGCCCCATAGCAAAAGATGCCTGTCTGCTGGAACAAATTCAGTAACATGAAATATCGTATGCGTGTGATTCTAGGATGGCCTTCATATATTTAGGATGTCCATTCTGGGAAGATCCCGTAGACGCCAGAATGTTTCAAGAATGAACAGCTGAATTGTGCTAGCTGGACTAGATTTCACCTATAGCTTTTTAAGTTACATGTTTTTCAAGTTAGTCTGTATATCTTGCAGAAGTTTGTTGCAGTTTCAGAAGACTTTCCGTCTATCTAGGGCATTCATCTCGAAACCAGAATTAAATGATCGTGAGAAAGCTGTGAAGGCAAACTACTCAGCTATATTAATTCGACTGCAGACCTCGGTTGGTATTTCTTGCGTTTCTTATGCTTCCGGAAAACTTTTCATTCATTTAGAGTAATTATTTTGGGTCGACTGTGCTCATTAGAAAGCTTTAAAAACGAACTGCTGAATTGTGATTATTCATTTAGAGGTTGTGTATGGATTTTTTGAGTTACATTCCTTTTTTTTGTGCTTGTTTACATTTCTTTTTTTTGTGCTGGTTTTTGTTTATAAGTGCTTGCAGGAAGCAGTTTATGGTGTTGTACTGCACGATGCAGGGAATACTGACATACACACACTTACACACACACACATTTAAAAAAGCAAAAAAACAGTTTCGAGAAAAGCACGCAACTTGAAGGTTGCTCCACAACCTCTAACAGAACTACATTAGTTGAGTAATTCGTCCTTTTAGCTTTCTAATGAGCGCAGACCGGTTCCAAAATAGGTTCACCGAATAGACTAAGAGTTCTCCTAAAGCATAAAAACAATTAGGAGCTCAAATGTAAGACAAGTGACTTGAAAAATGGATCTGCAACTCTTGACCAACTAAAATAATTGAGTAGTTCGTTCTTAGATGTTTCTAATGAGCATAAAATAATTCCGTGAAGAGTTCCCCAGATGGATCAAAAACCCTCCGGAATTGCAGCAGGCTTTTACAAGAAACACAGATTTACTAGAAATACTAGGTTGCCTCTAGTCGGACTAGCAAAGTTCAGTAGCTTGTTCTTAGAGCTTTCTAATGATAAGGACTTTTCAGAATCAGCATCCCGAATGCATGAAAACTGTCCTGGAATGACATCCATCTAAAGTTTCATTTTTGAAGAACTGAGATTGCTTCAGCAGACAAGCGTTTCGTGTGAATAGGATTTTCAGGAGTGGTTTAGAAATGGGAAGACATACATTTATTGTAGTAGTTATCGGGAATCAGACTCTTAAAAGTAGCAGAATCGTAGTTTGCTGCGCTGAAGATGGCTTAAAAAAAATTTTTCTTTTGGTCTTGGAAAATAAGATGCTTTGAAATCCAGTATTTTGAGTTTTTTGAAGTTCAGTAACGCTTTGGCGCTGTAGACACCGTCATTAATGAAGAACATTTTGAAACGTTGACTGAGGGGACTTTACAGTGGTTTTTGGTGACTTAGCCGCGCCTTGCGCTAAAATCGCCAAGGGGAATTGTACCAGTACTGTCCTGAGTAAGTGAACTTTGAACTGTATCAGATTTATAGGATACTTGAAGCGGAGATTTGAAGCCACTTCATAGGTACAGAGTCAGAACTGTAAGGGATGGTAGGGGTGATTGGGAATTTAGAAAACTGCTTATTTGCAAGCCGATAAAAATCAGATTTAGGTAAGATACTTGTCACGAGTACCATTCTAGAAAATGCGTTATTTCTAATTAAACTTACTTGCATTGTCAGTTTTCTGTTGTTGTCGTAAAAGTAAACTGCCTGATTTAAAATTAAAGACGGAAAGGGTAAACTGTGATGTGGTCATCAAGAATTGCTGCGTATACTAGTACGCAGTTTTTCTTATGTGTTCTTGATTCAAGTATTTAGTAGTGACAGCATTTTCAAGGCTTTGTTTTTATAGTGAAGAAAATATATGGATGCTTTGCAACAGATTGGTAGATCGAGGTTTCCGTAATGACTGTATTAAAGTAGTTTTCATATCAAATGCGAAGAAACAGGTATGCTGATTTGAAATTATTTAATTTGCCTACACTCCTGATGCGCGCTACTTTGATCTTTTCTTTTTATTTTCTTTTGATCTCTTGCAAAACTGTTGAAAAATGATCTGTTAGTTCTTTTTTGAATGTTATTTATGAAATTTGATTCAAGCATCTGCATAACCCCAGTTCCTTTTTTGAATCCATTTTGTGTACTTCCTTATTCTAAAAGTTTGCCCTAAGACTTGTAGTGCATGTACTGCACCATATACACCGGTAGAAAGATGATGACTAACCTTCGAATTTACAAGACTAGCGAATTTAGATCAAATAATGTAGCGACACGACTTTATAGTCGCTGTTTAGTTCATTACTTACACAAATTTTTCAGGACGTAAGACTACGTCTGTTCCGTAGGAAATCGTGGATGAGATGTTTTGGATGATAACTAAGTAATCATTAGATTGTGTTAAAAATTGAGGGTTAGGTGAATTCTAGCTGCTGGCAGGCAGCTTAAATCCACTCTTCATTAGAACTTCAATTTTCATAAACTGCGGTTTTGTATGAAAAATCTCCTCAGATCAAGCTACATCATCCGCAAATATAAGCAGTTATAGCTTGTCTTCGTAACAAAACTAATTTTTTGGTCCTAGTATAGGGAGTTAGTCTAACATACTACTGCACGGGGTTTCCCACTTGTCTTCTTGAGATGCAGATTAAACCGTTTATATTACAGAGGAAGAATTTTCTGTATTGCACTGATTCCAGACTCCTATATTAGTGATTAAACGTAAATGTTATGGTCTACGCTCATTATGTTGAAGAGATTTAGGTGCCACTTTGGAACCAAAAGGATAAAGAAGGGAAAGAGTTTGTTGTTTGGGTTAGTTTTGTTTACTCGTCTTTCTTCTTAGAACGGGTTAAAGATGATGACATCAGGAAAACTTTGAAAGGTATAATATGGATTGTTGTTCTGATGCCTCGTTTTAAATGTCGGAGAGTTTCAGGACTACCACGTCGTCCTGCAGCTTGCAGCTGGTGGAAAAAAGTTTATTTACGACTTGAACACGACCCTGCCAATACCCTGCTGCGCTACGTTCTACTGGACAGAAACGCTAAATCCTTCCATAAAGTTGCCGGATGATTATCGAAGGTTACTCTGAGAGCTTGGGAGTTATATAGGTTTCTCAGGGAGCTAGGGAACGAGGGAAGCTGAGTGACTCGTGCACCGTCAAAAATTTTAAAGAGGTTCCTTACGTCGCTTACAGGCGATTCAAAGTTGTTGGTGGAGACTTTTATCTGAGGGTTTTCTCGTCAGATCGCCGACACATGAAGGAAGAAGGATCAGGCAATTTCATTGCACCAGCACCTCCTTGGCCATTAATCTTTGATCCAGGTTTGCTTCAGTAAAATTCAGCGCGAAATATACTTAGGTTTATTTGTCATATACATCTCTTTATGCACTATTGATTCAAACAATATAAGTTACTGAAGAAATCTGGACAGAAAATATCATGTGTTGAAAATGAGACTAAAGTTGTATGCAAAAGAGAAGTTCCTGCTCAGAAAAATCAAGAGTAAGCACCGTGTATTTTTTTATGGCCCTTACATCATGAAACACTTCATTAAGCAAGCCACTTCTGCAAACAAAAATTTAAGAGCGTGGACACAACCTTGAGGACTTTACAAATATGGAAAGCAAAACGTACTCAGGCTTAATGAAGGTTTATGAAGAAGAGGAATTTTTTGAAGAGATGGTGACTGGAAGCAAGTCATGAGAGTCGCTCAAGCGCTTTTGTTTTCCTTACTTTATATACATTGTCTGCCTCCTACCACTCTCAATAAACTGTTTGGATTAAACTTCTCCAACAGAAAGCGCGGTCGGTCATGGATCACGTAAGCAAGTATTAAGGGCTGACTAGACATTAGGGTATTCACATTCCAAAAAATAAAACAACTGTCAAGCAAGCTCCATAAACACTGTCTGCAAATATTTAGTCAGGCGCAAATTTCTGAACGCAAACCAGCTCTCTCCCAAACCATGTGGTAAACGAAAATTCGCAGCCTGCTAAGAGAACCCTTGTTCTACATCCACCCTACACCAACAAATACTCGTAATGGGAATACCAAGTCAAGAAAAATCAACTGTTAAAAGCTGGTTAAAGTAAGTCCTGCGACAAAACGCGATGGGTTATCAAATAAAGCATGGCACGGCAGACTATTACGTAAACACTTAGACGACAGCTACTGAGTGTCCGGGTCGTAACGCCGTGCCTCCGATGTCTCGCAGTCGTATCCCAAAGCACGTAAACTGGCTCCTCGTTCTGATGCAATATAACGCCTGGAAGGTCAAGAATGAAAAAGAATTCTGAAATCATAATGACCGTGCACAGAGAATATTGGATTGTGAGCAAATATTCCCGATTCAACCAGAAAGCTTCAAAAATGTTCTCCAATAAAACCAACGGTAAATTAGGTCACCATAAACTTTGTAAGACACTAGGAACCCTCACCTACCTCCAAATGAGCCTTGAATAAAAACTCCTTTTAAAAACTCACTAAAATAAACAAACCATCGCCCAAATAAAATTTCTGTAAAAATATACTTTCGATGCAGTCTAATCAGGCTTGCTTTCCTCTCTGCCAGTATCGACTGCCTTTCTCCAGAACGAGCACTAAATCGTCCACTAGAAGATGCTGGCGTTGCAGAATTTTCTGAGGCAGACGGTGAATTAAAAAGTATATGGGGAAGCGGGTTTGTCAGTCCAGGGTTAAGCGCGTTTTCTTCATCCTTTAAAATTGAACGAATTAAATCCAAGCGTTTGCTCATTTATTTGTTAAAGACGAAGTTCAGGAAAATAATTTGTCTGTTCTAATTCCCCAACCATTCTCCCTCACCTTACGACTAATTACAAGTATCCAAGACTGTAATTTCAAATGAGTCGATACCAAATAACGCTGATGAAGTACAGAAGTTTTCGGAACAAGCAAACTGTATTATTCCAGTCTGTACTCACCAAAAGTCAACTAGTATGCAAAGGAAACATGAAGCACAAAACATAAGAGAGATGAAAGCAAGAATTAACGCCATAATAAATTTTTAAAATTTAAAACTTTTCCTGCCAGCTTCGTAATAAGCTTCAACCCATTGAAGACGTTACAATATTCAGTGGTGCATGGTTATAGACCGAACACACACTAAAGAATCTCAACAAAAAACGGGCTTTTTGATAAAATTGCTCTGACAAAAAAGATTGGCATAAGGCAACAAGAACTAGTCAATAAGCCAAAGTCGATCAAAAGTAATCAAAATTAACAAACAGTCCTCACTATTACAAATCATGACTAACAACGCCGCAGAAAATCATGGCCAATAAGCTTTTTTCAGTTTAAAAACATAACACTCCCAAGTGGAGGTGATTTGAGAGGGCTACTGGAAGTAGAATAACATGTAAATTATTCCCAAGTCTCCAACAACTACCAACTTCCCTAGCCCATCTGACAACCGATCCAGACAAAAAAAGAAAAAAAATGGACCACACCGAAAAGACTCACCCTCAAAATAGGAAAGAATAATACAATGGTGGAAGGAAGTAAAGTGGTCGCCTTTTAAAGGAAAACTATTGATGCCTAACACAACAAAAGTGCTCAAGGTTCAAAAAAAAGCCCTCCCCCCCCCCAAGAAAAAAAAACAATATACCTGAAAGGAGTGCTCGAAAGTTATTGAGGCGTTATATTCATCAAGCCGCCCCTCGAGAATGTTTTCTATTGTTGCTTGAGCTGACCCACTTTCCCTCAGGTCCTGTAAAATCGACTCCATAGCAAGCTGAGGGAACATTTCATGCACCTGAGTAACCATTGAATTCAGTTGCGAAGTATCGAAGGCGGGCACCCTGAATACAATGCGCTTGACAAAAGCAGCCTTAAGGCATTTGAATAACAACTCAACCAACAATACCTCAAGAAACTGACTGACAGTTATTTACCTATTTCTTTGAAATGAGTGAGACCCTGCGCTATGCAGCAGTTCAAATGAAAATCGCGGTAGCCATGTTGAGTATCTTGTACCATCAAAGCGAAAGACATGATTCACTCTCCGAGCACTGGTATTAGGTAGTGCACGAGATGTATCTGTCGACGCGGCAAGAACTAACCTACAAGTTGGACACGAGCTATCTTGTTCAAGCCAGCTTCTTAAGCACCTGAAAATACAGTAGACAATTTGAATTCCAGAACTGTAAGAAGAACATACAACTTTGTCCGACAAAGGTAGGATTTCTTTGGAAAATCTCCACAAATTTTTCAAAACATTACACCCAGCAACAAAAATAGAGACCATTCGTGAAAGTAATGAGAACATGGAAGTTTTCGAGCGTTTTGCATTTGTTCTCGGCAAATTGCACAGAAGTCTTCAATAGTTTCTAACTCTTCTTTCGTCGCCAAAGGATAACTGCAAAACATCTCTTCACAGTATATTTTGCGATCTTCGCGTCAAAAAATCAATATTACTCAATTAAGGGTAAACTTTACAGGCAAGTACGTTCAGAAAGTTGAGAGATTTGTGCTAATTTTTAAAAAAAAAAATGTGCAAATGTTCAGCAACCGCGAGTTATTCGTACTTTCTTTTAAAAGTGCATTCATTTCGTTTTAAAGTCAACAAAATAAGCTTCCCCGAGTGTCTTCCAAATCTTCAGAAAAAACCAAAGTAATGACATTTGAAACTGAAGAATGAACACGTTAAGAATTACCCAGTAGCTAAAAGGGAGCACCATAATAAGTTTGACGTTTAAAAATCATGCCTGTTGATGTACCACTAAAATACTCTACTAAACTGATAGAAAAAATTTAAACCCCGACTAGTACACGAATCAATTGTCTGCTATTCAGTTAATAAAATATAAGAGACTATTACATCCTTCTCACTCCTAACCTTCGCTCTAATTATATCAAATTCTTTTGACCAGAAAGGCCCTCTGACTTTGCTTCACCCTATACTATCGACCGAAGCCAGAGTGACGATTAAGGAGTGGTATAAAAATGTATCAAAATACTCGATATAACCTGAGGATTGAACTGTGAGGCTAAACAAGCGCAAAAAAAGGATCTAAAGCAAAATCCCTAAACTCCATAAATGCCTTGAAAAATACAATTTCAACATGCATTAACTTTTCACAAAAAAAAGAAACAGTTGAGATACTTTGAGTTTATATGGGAGCTGATCAGCTTGTATTTGAAGTGCCTATTTATTCGGGTAGACAGCGATTTGTAGAAAGCTCGAAGCTGCATAAATAAAACAATGCAAGCCATGCTCAAGACAATCTGAGCGTAAAGCTGAAAAATAATCTCGTCAGCAAATAAGTTAACTTAAACTCCCTTTCGCATCAAGAACACAGTTCTCAGCGGAACCGATTAAAGAGTGAGCAGGAAGATTACCAGCATATGTGTGTAGTGTAATAAATCGATGGTATCGGTGACTATATCGTGAACTAAATCAATATAGTAAGCAAAGGTAATAGAATTTAAAAATGGTAATACAGGATGTGCCTCATTAAGCAACATTACGGACTTGAAAGTCAGGTAGGCACCTCTCACAAGCAATTTCGAAGCCTAAAAAAGTAAACATAAGATGATAGCAAACAACTACTGAATAAAAAATTTTCATTTTCACTAAGAAATTTGGTCAGTTAAACTAGTTAAACAATTGCAATTACAGAGGTTACCCTGTACTCACTGGAAAAGCTGTCCTTTGGTACAATTTGAAACGAAGAAATTTGGGACTGAACTATTACCAAAAGAGGTAGTTAATGTAAAAATATATCATGGTGCATTTATTTTCTTTATTCTCAGGTGAAGCTTATGTTCCTGGTGAAAGCAACGTTATAATCAGGACCCAACAAGTCTATCTACACTTAAGAAGTACTAAAATAAGATAGTAATAATCCCAAAAAAGTCAGCGACCTAAAGCAAATCCATGTAAACGCTTGCAAGAAACGCAAGGTGAAAGACATTAGCAAACCACCTTGCAAGAAATTAATGCACCCTTAAGTCCTTCGCACAAAAAAATTTTCTTTTAGGAAAAGCCCAGCCCAAATGCAGGGAGCAGAAGGAGCTGGGTAAAATCTATTTAAAAAAAAATTACCCTCTATTTTCTTATGACATCCCTCGCAAGACATAGGGGCTCATATCGACAAAATGAAACGCCTTACAATTAATGCAGTCGTGATAAACGGAAAATTGTTTTAAAAAGAAGCGCTATAGCTAAAAAGCAAATACTTAGAAACAAAATATTTGGGAACAAATTTTAACTTACATCAGCAAGGACGAAGAGGGCATAGCTAGTTGACAAGAAGCTGAATGAAGAAAAAGCAATAGTAGCCAGAATCATTGCCGCAACCAGTGAGAAGATGTTCAGAAGCAGAACGCGTAACTGGACGAAACTTGGAGGAAGAGAAGAAGTGAACTGGAAGGCTATTTGTTACAGGATGTACAAGTCTCATGATAAATCAAGAAGTTGCTTCAAAGAAAAAACCAAAAAAGCAACCATATCGTACAAAGTGTGAAACTTAAAAATGTTGCCAAAAATATGCAAGTTCCAGTCAAAGGTAAAGAATAAATAATAGTCAGCTCGTATTTAACAGAAATGGCTTTAAACAGCATTAAAATAACAGGCAATTTTGTCTACTAGTAAATCCTTACGTGATTGAAAAACTAACATATTTAAACCGATGCATTGTCAGTATTTGTAACAAAGTGAGCATTGATATAAAAGTAAACCATAAAATCCATAAAACCATTTCATCAAGCAAAATGCTGCTCAGGACTCCAAACACGAATACTGCCTTATACAAAAGGAAATTGCAAAGTCGATCACGCAGTAACTCAGATTCCTAAACGAAAAGCAAACCCCCAAATTACACAACCAAAATATTTCAAACAGCAAACTTCTCTAACATTCTCACAAAACAGAAAAGCCAAACCTAATTTATTCTGCATCCTACAAAAATAAGTATGCTTCATATCCCTCACCTGCGCTCCTAACTGACCAAACGTAAAGTACACAGCGGCTTTCGCCAGAATAGCCAAGCTCGCACAAACCGTATTTAGGACCACCTAGAACGCATCTTCGTTGCTGAGAGATAAAAATACAAAGACAATCATAAAAAATATTACCCAAATTAAAGTTGGATGATTAACTGCGTAGTGGAGTTTTCGAAATGTTAACGAACTATCAAAAAGTTTCCCAAATTCACTCAAGCGTCCTGACTGCGTTTGGTTTGTAATGTGAGCCTTTACCATTTCATCAAACTAGAAAAGAACCCCAAACTGTTTTATAGTATTCTGAGGCATAAAAACGGCAACTTAAGTGACTAAGAAATTGAACAATGTTTAGAAAAACTTTTAAATATATAAACCAACCTCTCTATCCAAAAATAAATTATGAACATGATACCATGATACAGAACTGAGTAGTAAACTCATAGTAATATAACTATTTAAAGTAGGGATTGGCATTTGTCGAAGAAAGCTGTTGAGCCCTCCCAAAGGATCAAATACAATTTGTGGCATCTTGAGGTCAAATATAGATGCCACCCACTCGGCAAAAACCAATTTTTTTGAACAGTTTAGGTGAAGAAATCCTGCAATTTCTGAATTTACCATAGTATCATAAGACCTCAAATAATAAGACAAAAGCCAGAGATGAAATTCCAACACAAAAGCCTGAACTGAAAGATACGTAAAAGAACAGAAATAAATAGTTATAAAAGGAAAGAAAAATATCATCATAACGCTAAAAACTACTGGGTACCCCTATATCTAACTGAATTCCATAAATTAAACGATATTGCAACAAAAATCTCCTACATATACGTAAGAAACGAATTATAAACATTTCTGGGAAACAAGGGCTTTCGTTAAGAAGCCTATAAAACAAATCAAACAAAAAATCTAAAAAAAAATAACAGCCCTTAATAGAGCTGTTTTTCTTCAAAGTGAACACCTTGTAAACAGCTAGAGTTATACCGATACAGCTAGAGCGGCCTGGGGAGGTATATTAACAATGATTTTTCTGGCCCGCTATTGCAGCAAATTTCACATCTGTTCAATGTTCCAACAGAAACCAATACAACTGCTGCTGGAAAAAAACAGTAATAATAACAATGACACTGGAAACAGAGGAGTGACAACTAGCAACCATATCTAACAGCAGCAGAATCTGTTCGTAAAACTCGTGATAGGCAGCAATATGGAACACATATACACGGGTAGACAATGTCAAATCAGCTCATCGTTCACCGCTATTGCAGCTGACTGCAAGCCGTTTCTGGCAAGGTGCCAACTCAACGTTCTTTGCCGGCAGCAATAATATGGGGATGACGACCACTTCCAGCATTTTTTGGATTATGCGATCGTCGTTCTCCTTCAATTTCGGCAGTTTTCACTTATCATTCTGCGATTACTTCATTGAATACTGAAGTTGGCATCCGTTGTTCAAAATCTACAGACCGTAGATGTTACTACGCAATACCGATATATTGTTGGCAGGTGTTCGTTGTTTTTGATGTTACATAGGTCATTTTACTACTGCAATTCTGGATGGTAGTAAAAAACCGTGGGAATTTGGAATCGAAAGCTTCGTATTCTTGCCTCTTTACTACCTGTTATATTAGAAGTTTTGTGAGTGCTTACGGGTAGGAAGCTGGCTAGTGCGGAAATTTGGCGTTCATGGTGGTTGTATTGTCGCGTGTTTCTTTCTCCCGATTTTTCGTTTGGGAGTGCTTGTCGTTTTTTTAGGCCTCGTTTTGTTCACGTGAAGTAATTTCAGATGTTTCTGTGAGCTTTTTTTAATTTTTGGAGAACGGAGGAAAAGTTGGAGATGTTAAGTTTTATTACGCATCAGTTGCCTTCATTTAGGATAACTGGCGTGCTACTTTTCTTGCAACTGAAGGCCTTTTGATCGATTCTGGCTGGCCAGGCTTACTTTTTGCTCTCCTGCACGCGTTTCTCTCAGAACAGAACAGTTGTCCTTTAGCAGAAGGAATAAATGAAAAAAAATTAGATGAACAAAGTGTCCTTACAGCTGTTTCTAGAATCTATACTTTCGAAAGGAAAGAGGATATGCATAGGTGTTTTTGAAATTGCGAAAGGCATGGAGAGCGGGCTTAGAACCTTCACATTCAAAGAATGGAGGAAAAATTCAAATAAAAAAGGCGCCTTTCAGGTTGAGCACAATAAAGTACTGTCATTTTTCAGCTTTCCAGAAGCTCTTTAGTGAATCTGTAGTTCTTAGTGATGGGACTCTTGTCACTGTTGCTGAGAGGACAGTTATTGGTTAGAAGTTACTTTGTAATAAGTCACCTCTTCCGAATAAAGTGTATCAAGCACATTTATTTTTTTCTTTGTTTCATTTCTGCTAAAAAATATAGATAAAAATATACTTTTCATTGTGACACCTATCACTTTATTATTATTGCAGCTTCTAACAGTGACTTTAGTTTGACAGTGAATAAAACGAAGGTTTTATGGGGAGAAATGCTAGTACAGTTGTTTTGTGAGTCTGCAAGCAGAATCACAGCCCTTTCAGACAGTGGTTATTGCATCTTCAGCTTCTTTAATCAGGAAACGTCAAGGTGAACAAGTTTATTTCCTGGTGTCATAATTTCCGTACTGTTTTTCCCGGTAACGTAGCAAAACAGATCTTAATTAGCAGATACTGAGCAGTTTTGATATCTCGCTTTATCTTTACTTGGAAAAACTGTTTCGAATCAATGAACAACACAACGTTAAGGAAAGAATGCAGAAAAAAACTCAATGTACAAGAATTTGGTGCATTACTATGCAAGAGTCAATTACGCTGCATCCATGGAAGTAAAAATAGTTGATGAACTGTATAAAAGAGTGAAGCTATGCAATTTTTGATTCGACAAAACAGACACCTAGTGAACTACGACCATACGTTCGCGCTCTGGTAAAGGAATAGGTTATTGGATCGTTGACTATCAGTGCAGATGAATTTAGTGAGCGAGAACGAAGTTTGACCATACCGTATCAATTAAACACGCATAGAGCAAGTCTTAAATTTTAACGGGGCACTGCAATTGAGGGTACAGGGCTAAATGGATTCTAAAAAGCTAGTCTACTTCATCGATCTATGGAACGACTGATGAATTTGCTTAGTGTGTATTTCTGCTCGGTGACTCTAACAAACCGTCTTCTTTGATGTTTTTTTAAAAATGATTTATTTGTCCACTGAGATTCATTACGGCTTCGTTGGTAGAAATAAGTGGTAAACCACTGTGATTCAGAAATAACCGGTATCTCTTTGTTATTGTGGAGGTAAGGGATGCTAAAAAAAACGGCCACAGTTTTCATTTTCAATAACGTTTTAGTCAAGGCATTTGGTTATCAGGTGCTTTGCAGTTTTGCCAGACGGAGTTTTAGGAAGACTTGATACAAATGTGATCCCACCAGTTAACTGTTTGTAGCTGGAAACTCGACCTAAAACTGTCTACTTAAAAATTCTGTTGAACATTCTACAAAGTGAAACTCTTACGGGTGTGTAATTGCTGCAATATTTTCATTGATCTTTTTGGTAAAGATTTTTTTTTGGTAACGGCACTGGGAACAAAAAGTAATCAAAGAAACATCTGTCAGTTACCAACCACTCATGTAACTGTTGATTTCTGCTTCAGATATTGTTGCTCCAGGTTTCAAAACAACATAAGCTTTTGGAAGCTGTCCGTTTATAGCATCAGGGACACCGATAACCGCACAATCCATCACTGCATTGATTTTCATCAGCTCTTCTTCCAGTTCATAGGGGGAAACCTGTATACATTGGTACTTACAGATTGTTGGGTTAGTGTTTTTAATGGTGGATTAATGCATAACTTACTTGCCAGCCGCGCACTTTAATAACTTCTTTAACCTTCCCCGTAATGTAGAAGAACTTTTCATTGTCATAATACGCAAGATCTCCAGTATGAAACCAAGAATCTTCGCCCTCCGTAGTTCTGAAGATTTGTTTGAGAGAATTTTGTCAGAATCTTTAGCATCGGATTTTAAACACAATGTCTAAGAAGTGCCTCGGTTTCATTAACAGAGGCCGCTAAAACCTTATATTCTACCCACTTGCTTGGTGGAATAATATTTTTTTGGTTGCTGATCACTCCTTCTAAATAGTGTTCCATTACTGTCGGAGCTTGTAGCCAAAGTTCTCCTATCTCTGATGGTCCACATTCTTTCCCACATTCTACATTTACGACCTGTAATTGTTATTTACGTCATTGATGGGGCGTCCGAAGTAATGTAACTAAAGCCTTAAGGCGAGACAAAAAGCAACCCATTATTTGGTTCAGGTTATGTGTGTAAAAGAAATGTAGCCAAATCGGTAGTAGTTTTGGCTTCTAATACTTAGTAAACATGCAAACTAAAAATTATAGAAAATTTTCAGAAAGTCATATGTGAGTGTAGTTGTTTGAAAAAAGAAATACTTTTCGTTTTTTCATCTCAAAGTTTAATTAACCCACTGAGTTAATTGAAATTACCAGACTTTAGCTTGTACTCCATATATAGGTATTCCGCAACTTCCTTCTTTTGTTTGACAGTTGACTGGATGTATAAAGTTAATAATACCGGTTTCCGTGGAACCATACACTTAAAAAAGTTTGCTTTATTTGGATTGTAGCCCAAATGCGAGAAATAATTTGTAGTTGACTTATGCCTTCAACGATTAGATGACCCTTCACAAGTTTTTTTTTCCTACCTCTATACTATTAGCATACTTTCCGAAGACTATAACAACCTTAATCCTTTTTTTTTCGATTCATTAAAACGCGTGACTTACTTTTTTTACTACTCTTTATCTTTAGTAAACAGTATTCTTTTTAAGGACAGTATACAGATGCCTATGACAAATCAAGCTGAAAAAAAGCTTTGGCGGAATAAGCAGGCGGTAGAAAACAACACCTAACTATGGAAAAAAATTTATTTTTTTTTTTCAAGAGAAGCCTCAGTAAAGAGAAACAAAGGAGATGGTAAAACGAGAGCCTGTTGAAACTTTTAACGTGTATTAGAAATCAAAACAAATTTTTGCTAAAAGGGCTATAAAACTGATCTGTTCTTCGGATCTTTAAGTTTTTCAATGTGATTTTTCTTGGTCCTTGCTAATTAAGTCATCGGTCAAAAAATACCAATTGAACGACTGTGAAATGTCGCATTTGGTACTATCAGAGGCGCTTATTTACACCAGCTGCAGAAATGCTTTTGTATCTCTAGTATATTAAAAATTATTAAACATTACGGAAAACAAGATGTTAACACTTACGTTCAATGATTTTAATCTTTGACTTTTCTGCTACTGTCTTCACTAAGCGTGGATTGGTTTTGGAGGAGCCCACGAAAATATACCTCATACATGAGAGTTGTGAAAATTTTTCTTCGTCCCACTTGTCAATTATAAGCAGCAATGAGGGGACGATGTTCAAAATTGTCACCTGAAAATAACTTACAACGAATTTAAATATAATGTGCATTCTTTGACCACATAAGGTTTTTGCGAAGTCCATCATTTTCCTTCTCAGATGTGAAGGAATTACGTTTGAAGGAATGAGTTCGCAGGGGAGAGCAGAAAGAGGTAAAATTTGGCAAAGTAGGAGATAAGTGGATGGGTCTGTAGTTTAGGTTATAAGTTCCCCTAACTAAACTGAGAAATTACAACCTGCATTTGGCGTGGTAATTTGTATTCATACCTCAATGAACCCAACGCAGTGGCAGCATGACAGAAATTGAGAAGCGAAAGGAGGAGAAGAGAACAATTCGAAGAAAAGTACCGTAAGAAAATGGGATTTGACGATGCGAAGAGGTTACAGTTTTTGAATGAGGACAACGACAAAGCGGCGAACACGAAGCAGGAGTCTGGGGATTCTAGCACGCTTAAAACTTAAGCGATGACATGATGGACCAAAAGCAATTGAGGATTTACAGGGAAATCGTTTTTTTTTTTGAGAACCAGCATGCAAATTTTTTCTACAAGGCCTTTCATATGCGCCGTTACTGTTGCTGATATACTTCATGGATAATATCCATTTAAAAAGAAAAGACATGGCTACTACGTCACTTTCAAACCCTCGGTAATCTTCAGTCAATGCTATAGTCTAAGTGGATTCAACGGTTTTGAGAAATGACTGAAAACTGTTGTAAAATAGTTATTAGATTTTGTGGTTATTAGATATGTGGACATTACAGTGTGGTTAAAACCTGATATAGTAATTAATTGCCTGTGAAAAAAGCTTCAGCAACTTCGTTGAAACTACTTTACGGACCGGTGAACTTGAATATTAGGGTCTTATAAAAATATTATTTCGTGACGTTTTTAGTATGCTACTGCTACGTTAATGTTGCCATTTATTGTTATTATAATCATAATTGATTATTGATTATTATTATTCTTGTTGTTATTAATTATTAATTACTAACTATAATTACTAACTATTATTATTATTATTATCATTATTATTATTATTATTA